GTGGTATGGTGGTGGTGGTAGGGGGGGGTGGTGGTTAAATTGGGTATTTGTGTCGGGGGGGAGTGGAAGTGGTGATATGGGTGTTTGTTATAATGGGAGATGTGGTGGTGTGGATGGTAGTGGAGAGTGCCGAGATGCCACAAGCAAGGAAGGCAGTGCCACACTGAGGTGAAGCTTCCCAGGCACCCCACCTACCTTTCCTACCACTGGCACCCTCATCCTCACCCCTCCCATCCCCCCTCGACCACTACCTGCATCAACCATCCCCTTCCTCCACCCCTCCCCATCCACGTCCATCACTGTATGATAAATGCAAAACATAGATGATAAGAGAAAGCTCTTCTTATCTTCTTTATTAACACCATGTTACAGTTTCGCCAGATACAATTCTCCTATCATTACAATAATATTACAACAATACCGACAACGAGATGAATAAGACACACCTGGATATCTTTATTGATGAATATGACACGTTTCACAAACCAGTCTCCAGTTTATACCCTCTATATTGAATTAAAAAAGCCTCTGGTAAGTGAAAGGTCATCATGAAAAAGGCGCCCAGGTGTTGTACGTGTGTTTTAGTCATTTATAGTTTTCCGATCCTGTTGATTTCTATGGCTCAGGAGCTGTGGTGGAAGACTCTACTGAATGCAGTGAGTAGACAGGTAACCAAATCACGTTCATGGGAAGAAATGTAGCTCGTTAGGACGAGAAGGTCATCCTTAATGTCCTCAGTAGTCCCTCGCGGTATCCTTTCGACCTTCACAGGTAGACTATGTTGTAACCTTAACTAATAGCAGGTACAGGATTACAGGACTTATGTCTGTGCTCTGTGTAAATTAGTGTATGTCTTACGTTTCACACCTATTGGTGTGAAACGTAAGACATACGTAACGAGGCTGTTCTCTAGCGATGTTTCTGTAGGTGTCGACGTTTGGATCGCTTTACAGGATGTGTCGAACATCCGAATTATTGTTCACGATGCTGACACGTGGGTTGGTATTTATATCAAAGGACTTCAAATCGAATGTTCTCTCTAGGCAGTGGAATATTGCTGTACACTAACTGGCCCCTTCAAGGCAGGCGAAATTGCTGACCTGGAAAATGTACAGAGAACTTTCACGATACACATAAGTACGATAAAGCACTTAAATTATTGGGAACGGTTGAAGTCCCTTGATCTGTATTCCCTGGAACGCAGGCGAGAAAGATACATGATAACATACACTTGGAAAATCTTAGGGGGATTAGTACCAAACCTACATACGAGAATCACTCCCTACTAAAGCAAAAGACTCGGAAGGAGATGCAACATTTCCCCAATGAAAAGCAGATGCGCCACGAGTACACTAAGAGACAACACAATAAGTGTCAGGGGCCCAAGACTGCTCAACTGCCTCCCAGCATACTTAAGGGGGATTACCAAGAGACCCCTGTCCCTGTTTGTCTTCAAGAAGGCGCTGGACAGATACCTAAAGTCAGTATCTGATCAGCCGGGCTGTGGTTCGTACGTCGGTTTACGTGCGGCCAGCAGTAACAGCCTGGTTGATCAGACCCTGATCCACCATGAGGCCTGGTCTTAGACCGAGCCGCGGGGGCGTTGACCCCCTAAACCTACTCCACGTAATCCTCCAGGAAAGGAATTCACCTTCCAGTGACACTACTAAGAAATGAGTCATTGGTCCGGCCGGCGCACACTGACCACCACATGAGACGATGATACAGCTTTCCTAACCCAGTTTGACTAAGTAAATATTAGTTCCTGAGCTTAGAGAAGTTAGATGACTCGGAAGAATGTTACCTGAGTCCTTATCCTTCATGAGTTCAGTGTTCGTTGTCTGCCAACGCCGCGATATCAACACGGCTGTTCAGGATGATTGATTAATGGGATTTTAAAGCCTACACGAATGTCATTAAGGCTGCATGTAATTTGTTCAACGCCAGTCAGGAATATTTTAATCCCTAAAATAGGTTTTATAGTAAACTCTCAGCCTGTATATACACTGACAGTCATACACCTCTCGGTGTATCATTGGTTGAGTGGGCATTTCGAATACCCACGGCCTACATGGCAAAAAGGTTGCCACCCACAGTGCCTTGGCATGGTTACCAGTCTTCCGTTAGTGATGAGGCAACGGTGTGCGTTACCTTAATGACAGAATATCTTTTTCATTGTTTATTAATCTGTTAATTCAAAAACTACTAATTCTAGTTAATACTTTAGTACGTGCTTATGTAAGACCACCACCACCACCACCACCACCACCACCCACCACCACCACCACCACACCACCACCACCACCAACACAACAACAACAACATCACCACAAACTCCACCACCACCAACACCACCACAAACTCCACCAACACCAACACGATCTCCACCTCCAACACCACCACAAACTCCACCACCACCACCACCACATCCTCCACAGCAGCCACGCCCAACACAGTATTGACAGGTCGCACATTACACGTTTAAGTATAATTATATATATATATATTATATATATATATATATATATATATATATATATATATATATATATATATTATATATTATATATATATATATATATATATATATATATATATATATATATATATATATGTCGTACCGAAAAGGAAGAACTTGCGATTTTGGCTTAAATATGAATGCTCTTCTTGCCGAATAAGACAAGCGAAAACTTGTGTATGCAATAACTTCGCAAAAATTATTCTGAAACTAACGAAAAAATATATTTAATTGCGTTTATTTATTATTAAAATTGTAAACTTATTTCAAATAATTTATTTAGTTTAAGCAAAATTATATGCGCTTGTTTAATAAGGTTAGGTAAGTTTTCTAAAGTTTTTTTTGGTCATAGTTTTTAAATTTTTTTACATTAAATAAGAGAAAAAAAATTAATATTAAACGTAAAAGAAAATTTTAGAAAAGATTTAAATTTTTAAATGATTTCTTGCTAATTGTCCAATTTTCCCTATTCGCAACACACCACACACGCACCACAAACAAAAACCACACACCACACACCACACACACACACACACGCACAACACACACATAAAACATAAGAACATAAAAACGAAGGAACACTGCAAAAAGGCCTATGGCCCATGGGCAGGTCCAAAGTCTCCTCCCGGGCCCTTAAGCCAATCCCCCAACCTGGGTCAGGTCAGGTAAAAAGACTTAAGGGGGGAAACACGGAAACCCGACCTGGTAGCACAAGCTATCGGGTCTAACTCAAAACCCCCCCACATCCACTCGTTTTTATCCAACCTATTTTTAAAGCTACCAACGTTTGGCCCTAAAAAAGGTATTTTGGGGTTTTTTCCCACTACCACAACTCATTCCCAAAACCAGCTTTCCTTTTCCCTTCCGAATTAAATTTTTTTTCCAACAAAAAAAACCATTGCTGCGAGTCCTGTCTAGGCTAATATTTTCAGCCACTATTACATCCCCTTTATTTATTCCTGTTTTCCATTTATACACCTCAATCATACCCCCCCAAATTCTACTCTTTCAGAGAGTGCAGATTCGGGGGCCCTTAGTCTACCCTCATGGGGAAAGGGTTTCTGATACATGGGATAACTTTGTCATCCCCCTTTGACTTTTTCCCAAGAATTTATATCCATTTGAATAAGGTGAAAAAACTGTGCAGCAAATCTAAATGGGGCCAAACCCAAAGGGTTATAGAGTTGAAGAACAACCTGAGGACCCTATTTTTATCTTCTTGATATGAACCAAGGATTCAATTAGCTTTATTGCAAACATTTAGCATTTTGGTTTTGGTTTCAGATTACGCTAACCAAACCCCTAAACTTTTTCCAACCCGAATTTTAAAATCTACTTATTTAGTTATAGTGGCAGGGTTTTTGTCCTGTCCAACATTAGAAATTTGCATTTGTCTATATTAAAGCATCGCACTTCTCCGACCACTGATCAGTCTATTTAAATTTCCTGGGGTGCTCGAAAGTCCTCGTCAGAATGAAATTGACGGCCCATTTTTGGTGTCATCCCCAAACTTGCCGAGTCGTCTTTTTGCCCTCATCTATGTCGTTTAGGGAGATTGTGAACACAGGGGCCCAAAAACTGACCCTTGGAACACCGCTCGTGACCTTCCCCCTTGATTTCTCCCCATTTATGCAAACTCTCTGCTGCCTATTTGTCAACCATGCCTCTATCCAGGAAAAAATTTCTCTCCCATTCCCTGTGCTTTTTTTTCCTCAATAGTCTTGATTGGGACCCCCGTCAAAAACCTTTCTGAAGTCCAATCACAATATATATTCATTACCATGATCTACCCCCTAAAAACCTTAGTGAAAAAAGTTTAAAAAATTCGTAAAGGGAGGAACGCCCCTTTGTAAAAACCCTGCGGGATTCGTTGATTAATTTTTGCTTTTCAAGGGGGGGCTACGAACTGCCCGGAATTATTATTCCCAAATTTTCCCCACTATGGAGGTTGGTTATTGGGCTTAGTTGAACTAAGGGCCTGTACCGTTTTGAAAAAAGTATCCATTTGCCATTTTCCACTTTTCGGCACCATGCCAGTTTGTAGGATATGTTGAAAGATTAGCCAAAGGTGTGCTAAGCCCTCTTTTTCATTCCTTTAGAAAAACCCTTTCATAAGTTATCAGGGCCCGGGGGTTTGTTGGTTTTAATTTTTCTATTTGCCTAAGGGCCCTGTCACTTGTGACCCTAATAGTGCACAGTTTTTTATGTCCTGTTCTACATAATTATCATTACGGAAATCGCTGGGATCCTGTGTAAAAAAATGAGAGAAGTATGTTTAAAAATTCTACACATTTCCTTATCACTGTCATGAGCTGACCCGAGGAACTTTTTAGTGGGCCCCTCTTTCCCCGACTTTCTTCTGTAACCTGAAAGAATCCTTTTGGGGTTTGTCTTCGTTCTTTGCAAATTTAAAAATCATAATCTCTTTTTTTTTCTTTTCTAATTCCCTTTTATTCTCTCTTTAAAAATGAATATATCGATT